AGATTTTTCTAATTTACAAATTTACAATTATAAATAATACCAATAAAAATGCAGTAGAACAATTATTTCCATAGCATGTGCATTCTATTCGGTATTATATATAATCCAGAGATAGCTTAAACTATCCAGGAGGATGAGTGTAGGTTCCCAGACCAAGACCCACAGTGATGATGCCGACGGCTGGATGTCAGGAGCAGCCACATCAGTGACTAGCGGGTGGGTAGTGTCTACAGTGTGGCTGTGCTAGACAATTGGATGGCCCAAGTTTGGGGCAGGACAGAGCAGGATGACATGATATTTCACCACACTACTCAGAACGGCACACGTTTTAAAATGGATGAATTTGTTTATTTCTGGAATTTTTCTTTTAATATTTTCGGGACCATGGTTGACCACAGGTAACTGAAACTGAGTAAGGTAAAACGGCCTATAAGAAGAGATTAGTCTATATATTGCACAGGTACCATACATTGATTATGTACAAATAAATGCATTAAAAGTCCAGTTGAACACTGGAATGCCAGTAGTAGTTATCTCAGAACAATTGGGTGATGGTGAAATTTTGTCTTCTTTAAATTCACCATGATCTAGGAGTTGCATTTGATGCTGTTTCTATAATGAACTTTCATCGTGGAAAGAAAAGCTTGCTCATGTTTATTTTATTGTATAATTCAAGTTGTAATATCTATGCCGATTTTCAGTGTGAAGGTTTTGTACTTGTTGTAATTATTTAAATGAAGAAAACTAATTCTTGGGAAATCTGAGGAGAAAAAGGTGGCCCAAGCACGCACCTTAATCACTCTCTAAAGTGGTGTGAGGCAAATATATTTACTCTAAGGTAAATGTAAAAAAGGAAATGTGTGGTGATGTGGAAAAAAGGATCGAATGCTAAATTTTATTCTATAGAGACGAAATTCATTTAAAGAAACCCAACATTTTATCTGGTTTTTACATATTCATCTGGCTTTACATATTCATCTGAAATAGTGATACAAAGTTAGATCTCGCAAATATGTTAATGACCAAATTGCCAGTGAAAACATGTCAAAAGTTGGTAGGTATAAAGAAGCATAGAGCTTGATTCAGAAATAAAATAGAGGTACCATAGCTCCAGAGAACTAGGTACAATATCAGAATTATCAAAAAATAAAATAGAAATGCACGTGTGTCTTTGGCAAGGAAGTCAACAATATGTGATATAGATTTTAAAGAATATGTGCAAGACAGGACATTCTAGATGTAAAAAAAAAGTTTCTGGATTTTTCAGTCTTCCAGGAAAAACTGCATGCTAAAAAAATAAATTTATTCAGAAGTGTTAACTTTAGATTTGAGTGCTTCTCATATCGTTGCAATGCTCACAATGGACACCCCTATCCAACTTCTAACCTATAAGCCCAGATAAACTTGTCACATGCTCCTTTTGTGATCATTTTAATATCAGTGTGTGGATTTATCAAAATTAATATAGGATTGCTGTTTAAAACAATCAAGAAGCAAAGAATGAACAAAAACATCCATTTGTCTGATGGGAGAAGAAATTGTTTTGTGACAGGTATAATTAGTTGGTTTTGGCTTGAGAAGAGTGAGGCAAACCATAGGAAAGTTAGACTCACACAGATGATATGATGAGATAAAAAAGGTATTTTCCGAAAGCACTAGAATCCAGCAGTAACTTTTCAGTAAAAATAGAAAATAAATCAACAGAAAACTTCAAGATAAACAATCAACAAATGTCAAAACTTTTCGATTCTTTATTATTAAAGCACTTGGAATGACATTTAAGGGTCAATTAAAAAGTTCTCAGGGGAATCCATTGTCCTTTTTTCTTAGTCACCAGGATTAGTTAACTGTGCCCGGCAAAATGTGACATGCAGGTCTTCTATCATTTTTCCCAGGACTTTATTAATGTCATATATACATTGCATTATTCAAGCAGAGAATTTCTATTTAAAAATGAATCTCTCATTTAACACTGTAAACTATTTTTATTTTTGGCTTTTTGCTATTAGAAAACACCGAGCTCCCTGTCAACACCAAGTTTATACTGGCAAGGAGCCTGGGGAGGGCCTGGCTTATTGAGTCGTGAGTCACATTACCACATGCAGTACATTTTGTCTGGTTTTCTTCTGTCTCGTATTTGCATATGCATGAGTAAATCCATAGAAGAAAAATAGCACATGAATTGCTTTTACGTGAGAGAATGACGTTGGCATATTTGAACTGCTTTGGGTTGTCAGAAACCCCAGTATTAACCGATGATCACTCTGCCAAGTTTAGCCAAGTCACGTCCTTCTCTGTTTCCTGATCGGAAACACAAAAGTCATGATTTCCCCAAACTTAACAAAACCGTTTGGCTCAGGTGTATGAGAATTTGTGATAAACAATAAATATAAATTACTCTTAAAATTTTGAAGGCAACTAAAAAATCCAAGGGGGTTGGAGAATAGTACAGAGAAGATTTAAAATAATGTGTTCACAATTTTCAGAGGAGAGCGAGACATCAATTTATGTCCATTTGAAATTTTTTATCTGCAGTGGGAGAAAGCGGAAAAAGAGAAAGAGAATATTTACGTGAAGTCTTGTCCGCTTGTAGAAGCTTTATAACAAGCATGGAGAGGAGGCAACCCTACTTTCATAAGTTTACAGAGCTGCCTGGGAATGACTTTGGGCCTCAAATTCTTCCCCATACCAAAGAGATCATCATATTCTCTTGCATTTAGGTGAAGCCATTACAAAAACTCATTAAAATGTAAACACTATCTTGAAAGGCCATTGAAACATTTTCAGTCATTTAGCTATTCAATTACCCAGCAGAGTTTGGAGAGAAAGGATTGCAAGGAGATGCTTTCCTAAATAAAGGAATAAAAGAAGCTAGAACAGGCCCCACTTCTAAGCTTTAGTATGTAGTAAAGAGGACTAGGTCTCTGGACAGGAAATAGCCTAAGTAGCGGCACGGAAGAGAAGACAAAAAAGGAAAGAAGTATTTAAGATTCACAAACAGTTACTAAAATGAGAGTTGTTTGTGTTCACAAAATGCCTGTAAATCAATACCCGGGGTGTACACTTTGACACCAACAGAAGGTAGCGTCTTTATACAGAGTTTAGCAAGATATTATGCTTTATGTCGTAGATGTGAATATTCTACCAGGTTAGTACATTCAAGGCCAAGTTTATATACATAGAAGAAAAAAAAGAGACAAGCTTACCATAAAATTATAGTTGTATCAGATACAGCAATAAGGAATTTGAGGTTGTGTACACAAGATGAGATTGACTTTTAGGGGAAAGCAGGCAACCAACAAATCACTTGCAGCATGTTTATGGCAGTTGTGCAAAATAAGTATTATTATATTCAGTCTGAAAACTAATCTAAATGTCTCAGAGAGGTTAAGTAACTTGCCTGAAGTCACACAGCAAGTAAGAGCTGGAGGTAGGTCTACAAGTGAGTTCTAACTGACCCTAAAGCCTACATTCTTTTGACTACCCAGTTTGTATGGAAGGAGGATAAAACTTTCAAAATCGGTAACTTTTTTACTTTTCTTGATTGTTTTTCAACAATGTAGTCTAAACCATGGCTCGCATAACCTGTACATCATGTATTTATATAGCTTGAGATTAAACTTATAAAAAAAGAACTTTGTTGTAATTCTGTCATAGCTGCCAACTTCCATGACAAGGCAGAATTTGTGAATTACACTTTGGAACATAATTCTTCGTAGCTTACTTAACAGAATTATGGGCTCCTACCATAAGAGAGCAGGAATTTACAAGTAGCAGACGTGCTATTTTCATAAAGCAAAGTGCCTGTAAAATACATTGCTTTGCTAACCACATAACTAGCTGTGATATTTAGCATGATGCTAATACATCAAGCTAATACACCAACATTACCTGATAGCAGAAATACAACCCCATAAATAAACAAGTATTAGGTGGAGGAAAGAGTTATAATTTATTAATTTACTTATCTTGGCAACATAATTACACACAGAGTTCCTCTGTTATTACAACCAGAAGCTGAATTCAAATGCCCTAAAGGCAAGAAGTTTCTCTCCTTACAGCATCCAAAATGTATAAAAGTAAAAAAGTGATTATACTCAACCAAGAGGTATAAACAAGTAGAACTTCCAAGCTAGAGCAATAATAGAGATTGATGTTTGCCAGGGATGCTGTAGAAGGCTGTCTTTTGAAGACATTCACCATGACTTGTTAGAGAAACAAAGACTATACCAGGAATACAGTAACTAATCACCCCTCTATATTTTCACTGTCTGAATGAATGCTTAGGGAAAGACAAACTGAGAAATAACACAATGAAGTAGACATTTTTGGGTATATAATAAAGTACAAAGTATTCTCTACTTAAGCATTTAGTTTTCTTTTAAACATCACAGAATTCTTGAAAATTTAAATACTAGAGTTAGCCAGCTCTAAAATTTAACTCATGGTTGCAACTAATACTTTACAAAATTTGAAAATATAAATGTAGTCTGGTAAAACCTGTACAGTCTTTATTGGTAAGTAATATCTTTCAGACATAAGCATTTTTAACTTTCAACATGTATAAGCCATTCTCTGATTCCAATTAACCAAACAAATAACAAAGAAAAACTAAACAAAAAACAAAAAACAAAAACCTGTGACCATACTGTAAGTTACCAGTAATTTCCAGGAAAATTATCTACATCCATCTACAACTGAAACAAATGTGATCAAACTGAACTGTGTTAGTTGTATCTCACTTCAACAGGTATTTCTTTTAAAAATCACCAGGTTAATTAATTATTCTTACTAAAATAGAAAAATGTGCCAGTTTGTCCTTTATACTTAATGTCAGCAGCATGAATAATAATCTGGAGCTTAAGATAATTAATACCATACATCCTCGCCTTTGAACAACACAGCTGTCAGCCATGGGGCTTTCAAATTAACAGGCTCTTCAAAGCTACAAATCAGAAATGATGATAATTTTATATAATATTTCTTAAAAAGGCACTTACCTTTTAAATGGAAAACACACTTCTAGCAGCAAATTGCCTGTTAAAATAAAACATATCATTTATTGGTATCCAGTAAATGATATAACGAATGATGCATTGTTATACTAAGCACAATTACAGTGCAACTTTAAAAAAAAACTTTTCCTGACCTCATTTAGTTTCTTTTTTACCCAAAAAGAAAATCACCTCCTTGGTGGTAATAATTAAATGCTTTTCTGTTCATTGCATGTGCACTGAAACCACAAAAGCTAATGAGTTTCATGTCTGAGAGCAAAACCAGAAATTACAGGGCACATTATCCAGGTCACGGGTGTAGATTGGAGCATATTCCACTCAATGTCTATAATGAGAAGCACGTGGATTAAGGTCTATTCCAGAAAATGTAATGGTTAGGTGTCATAGAGAATTTCATTTCTACTAAATAAAAATAAAATACCACTGGTAGAAGTTATTAATATCAAATGTACTCTTTTCAAATATGACATTAGTTATTCGAGTTCCTTATATACTTTTCACTGTACTGCATTAACGTCTAAGAGATTTTTATTTACAATACGTCACAAATATCACCGAGATGAAATAAGGTAAAATCAAGGTTTCATGCAATGTGTACCAAAGGTTACACTTGAAACAAGCCGGCCGGAATCAATATAATATTTAATCCCAATCAGAGGAAAAGAGGGATAACTAGGAGAAACAGCAGCAGTAGAAGAAACTCTTTTGATTGTTTACTTTCCAGTAGAACCTGAATTGGTTTTCTCAGAAGTGAAAACCAAAAGTATCAAGTATAATTTCCTTAGGAACTCTGCTTTATTTGCATATGCAAGACTACGCAGATGCATTTTTTTTTCAGCTGTCTCTGTACGTCACAAATGCTGATGGTGAGTTTTTCAAATTATGGAGAATTGTTTTTAACTTTGTTTTATTGTATCTTCAAAACAAGTAAAATCCCAATGCTTGCAAAATTGATAATGTGTAGATACTAATTTGTAAACAGAGGTAGATCATGTTGCAAATTCATCTCAGTTCACTTGAGTGTTAAACTGTCAGGACAGCAAAACTGCTTCTCACTCCAGTTCTAGATTGACTCTCGAATAAGATTTAGAGAGGGGTCGGGTGCTCAGGGATGGATGGAGTGGTCTGACAATTCTCTTGGCTCCTTGGGAACAGCTCTGCTTCTGAGCAGACCTTTCTCTCCCGGTGCCCTGTCTCTCATGTTGCACTAGTTGGGATTGCATTTCCTCCCTGATGGTGCCCTCTCAAGCAATTAAAGGCAAAACTGACTAATAGTAAATGAAACAATTAATATAAGTTTTCATCCATCTACAGAGATGATTTCAAGATGTCTCTGCTTTGATATAAAAAGAAGCATTTAGGGCAAAATAAATTTCTCAAGTTTTAGTTCTGTTCGTTTTTGAAAATAAACAATTTATTACTGAACCAGCAAAGAAAAACAGTTTTCTTCCTCTACTACTACCACAATAGCTAAATTTCCACAATCTCTCAAAATGGCTATTACTTTAGTTTGCCAAGAGTCGTTACAATTCTCTCGCTATTCATGCACCTAACCCCAATCCTAATCCTTTATCCACACAGATGTTGAGTGGTTTTTTTTTTTTGTTTCTTTTTTTAATAAGCAGGTATAATCAACTTTCAATCCTACTTAACTATTGCAACATTTTCTTTTTATCGCTCATTTAAAATCCTTGACATGGCCTCCGAGACTTGTTCAGAACCCTGCTGACTTCCCTGTTCTAATTTTCCCAGCACCCTCCTCACTCATCATGCTGCAGAGACACTGGCCTTTCTTTTGTTGCTAAAACGTGCAGCCCTGTTTCCTTTCTCAGGCTTGGGACCCTAGCAAATGTGAGAGCTGAGAAAGCCACTTCCCTCATCTAATTCTTGCTCTAACTTTTGAATCCCAAACATCCTCTCATTAAAGAGTCTTCCTCGAATCCTAAGCTGGATCCCTTTTGCAATATTGCAATTGTCTTTTGCTCAGTTTTCCATTTTCAAGCATTGCAGAGACAAATTCTGACCTCTGCTTAATCCCCTTTTGGATAGAGTGGACATAAAATTTATTGCTCATACTGGAAAAGTTTTGAGATTTAAAGAAGGAAGTAAACGAACAAGATGCTAGCACACTAATGTGATCCAGCACTGGGTTCAGCAAACCAGGGGCATATGGTCAACCACTCTGTGGAGGAAAAGTTATCATTTTGTCTTAAGGTTGTCCAACATGCCCTAAAGGGACGAGATGCAGGTAGCTGATGAGCTTGGAAAGCTGATGGCTACTCACATGACGTGTTATACAAACAGAGTTAACGTGTGAACAATTTTTAGTGTTTTTCCCTGTTGTAAACAACTGTGATAAAACATTTCCCTAAACAGCTCAAAGTAACATCACAACAGTATGCAATGAATGTATCAGGTTGTAAAGAGCTGGACTATAGCCCAAATCAAGGCCACCAATTAAGCGATATCTGGGCTTCATTCTGTGCAAGCCAGGGCTGTAATTTCTCAGTCTTGCTGCCAACTTCTCTCTAGTTAGAAGCACATTCCTATCCATCAGCTTACCAATCAAGGGCTGCAGCCACTGACCTTAACTCTTCTACCTGAGTGCACTGGTGATGGACATAAGGACAGTGGAAGAGAGGTAGCCATTTAGCTCTTCTCACAGCTTTGCAAAGTCCTCTTTGAAAATATTTTAGGGTGAGACACGTATACTATTTTAGTGTGAGGAGGGGCAATAGACTCTTCCCTTCAGAAACTCATCTTCAAATGAACTCTCCACAGAAAAGATAAAGAAGAAAAAGCTGGGAAGCCAGTTGTGGTGGCTCATGCCTGTAATACCAGTGTTTTGGGGGGCCAAGGTGAGAGGATCACTTTAGGCTAGGAGTTTGAGACCAGCCAGGGCAACATCGTGAGACCCTCATCTCTCTCTGTATATATATTTTTAAGTCAGCTGGATGTAGTAGTACATGCCTATAGTCCCCGCTACTCAGCAAGCTAAGATGGAAGAATTGCTTGAGCTCAGGAGTTTGAGGTTACAGAGAGCTATGATTGGATCCCTCCAGTCTGGGTGAGACAGTGAGACCCTGTCTCAGAAAAAAAAAAAAGAAAGAAAAGAAAAAAAAAAGAGCATGGGTATTTTGATTTTTGAAATGAATCACCTTTTTTGACATGTTCAATACTCTGGGTAAGTTCATCTGTTTTTGTGAGGATGTGTGTGTGTGTGTGTGTGTGTGACACAGGAGTTATTGGGTGTGCAAGGTAACTTATTTTTCGTTATTTGAAGGTTGAAGGGAAAGAGTGAGTGGGATTTAATCAGACAATCAGACAATGACAAATGGATAGGCAAAGGTCAAAGACATGGGGAAACCTCACAGCCTAGAATATTTCCAGGGTGCTCACTTGGCCCAAATTAGAGAAAGTCTTTGAAGGAGGAAATCATTCCGGAAGGCCTAGATCAGTATGCTGCTTTAAGATGATCCAACTTTTTAAGCAGAAGAAATGTGGATCAGTTTTAAAAGGTAGGCTGATATATTTCTGTTTTGGATAATCAAGTTAGCAAGGTGGTGGATGGCTACACCGAATGAAGCAAGCTGGTTAAGAGACCTTCACATTAACTGACACAATGGCCATGAGAATGTAAATAAGGAGAGAGGCTCCCAAGGCATTTGGAAAGCATAATTGACAGATAGTTTTAACCATCTGAGAACAGAAGTTTATGGAATATCATTCTGATTTGGGGCTTACGTGACTGAAGCACCATTTACTAATGCAGTGATCACAAGAGAAAAAGGGTGCAAAATTAGGGAAGGAGAAAATAATGAGTTTGTTTTCAGATTTTTTAAGTTTTAGATTTTTCAAGTTCAGCAAAACACTCAGTAGACTGGGCTCAGCACTTTTATACACATTAGTCTCATTTTATAATTGAGGACATTAAGAGATCCTGTGTGCATTATCTTAAGGCCTTACAGCTACTGTGTGGTAAGGAAAGGATTTTACTTCAATTCCTTGACTTGAAGCTCCATCCCTGCTACAGAACTGGCTGGACAGCTTTTGAAATTATACCTGTGTACCACAGTTTCTTTATCTGGAAAATAATGGAGGTATCTCTCCTTTTGATTACCTGAGATATGTATTAGAATGTTAAGATTTAGTAAATAACGCAAAAAATCTATAAAGTGAATATACTAGCTGGTCTTGATGTAAGATCCTTTCAAAATCTAATCATTGATGGGAAATATCTTGTCAAAAAACAAAATGGAAATGGTTGTGTGGCACTGCCCTACCATTCCACATAGATTCCACTTAATTAGGGGACCAAAAACCATGTCCATGTCTACATTGGTAGAGAACAGTGGATATGGAGCATGAAAAGGACCAGATGGCTCTTAAAGTTGAATCGGTTACCTAGCAAGACATTGACTCTGAATATTTTCATTTCTCTCTATTTCAGACTGGCCTCTAATGTTCTTTTAATGCAGATTTTTATTTATGCATTTCATGGGTTGTTATGTGAATCTGTTGCTGCTGAGTACGTTGAATCTTAAGCCTTTTGTGAAAATTAGCATGATTCTTTGTAGTTATGAATAACAAATACATTCCTTTTGATAGAAAGGACAATTAAAATGTTTTATGGTTATCTTTATGCTTAAATTTTGCTCATAGTGATTTATTTAGATTATAATCATCACTAAACTTAAAAAGATAGTATCAAATAAGAGCAGGTTATATAATGTCTATTTTGCTCTTTGCTAGAAATGGACCATTACAATGCCAAAATGCATTACTGGAGTAATTTATTTTCCTGGTTTTCGCCCTCCCCCACTCTACTGTGAAGATATGGTAGTGTATTCATCTAAGGTCTTGCATTTTTAGAGATGATAAAAAAGAATTTGTCATGCATACCATAAAGCAGAAATATTATTTATCACTGAAGTTAGTAGAGGGTTGAAACATGTTTAATTGTACACAGTATGCAGCAGTAAGTCAGCTTGTGGAATTTTAAAAAGTTGCATTTAGGTAGAA